TTTTTTTTAGGTTTCTAATTATAAAAATTAAACCATAGTAAATTATAAAAAAAATTGTGTTTATAGTTTTTGTTGTGCTTTTTTTTTTGCTTGTTTTATTATTTTTAAGCACATTTGAGTGTTTATAATGAAGTAATAAATGCTTTTTTTTGTAGCTCTTATTTTGATGATTATAAGTGCTATAAGTCCTAAACCCTGCTTATGAGTTAGTGCTCATATGTAATTCATCCAAAATTAAATTTTTATGTTATGAAGAACTCCAAAAAAATACTTTGTTTTGAAATATCAAAATGTGTGTTGTATAAACTTAAAAAATTGTAACAATTTAAAATAGTAAAAAGTATAATAAGAAACCTTTGAGATTCACTATATAATATTCTTACTTGAAATTTTTATATGACAATTAACTCTCTAATATCAAACATTTAAACATAGCAAACTTAAACAGATTATTCAGAACTACTCTGCTATGATTTGTTTTTATAAGACTAAAACAATGCATGAGGGTTTTGTGTCCTCTTAAGTACTATTGTCTATTGTTGTTTAGACAACTTGAAAAACCAGCAATAAGTTCTGGCAACTGATATTGGTAATTAGCCCACGCACAAAAAGTAGTATAGAATACAGTGTGTCCCGTGAGGATATACCCATTAGCCATAGAGGGGGACTCGCCGCCCATACAATAGCCGGTTTTTTGCTGTTTTACCTATTAACTAAAATATTGATTAAAAATCAGGAGATTAATAAAATTTAAATGCTGAAACATCAATATTTTCTGAAAAATGAACTCTACAAAATGGCTATCTTCGATTTTTTTAAAAATAATTAATTAAAAAAATATATTTTTTAACTTTTTTACCGAAATATAAAAAAAAAATTAAAACATGAATTATTTGTTGTGCTTATCTCTGTGAGTCTTAATTAAAAATCAGAATTATGATATCTACATTATTTTAGGACAAATCGCAATGAGTTAATCCTCACGGGACACCCTGTATAGCACTTTTTATGATCTTGCTAAAAATGTAACATATTTTCTAAATAAATTTCTTATTTAATTGGAATAGTAAAGTGGGAATAATAAAATTCTAAGGGTAACAGCATTAAAAAGTAAGGTTTGAATTTCAATCCATTTTCATATTATTTTTTTTGGAATTCTTGATACAGTGTTTTCCTAACTGCAAACCCATTAAAGATTTTTTCAAGGCACTTTAAATTAGTTGGTAATTTTTAATTTATTTTGAGGGATACAACAAAAAATTTTTTTTAAGATACTGATTTACTATTGCCATACATAATAATAAATATATTATTTAAATAATCTAATGATTCAATGAAAAAAATGTCCCATTTCTAGTAGGTACTTACCATAGGTATATCACTTAAAATTTTGGGGATCCCCTTTTATGGTGGGAGATGCGCTGATCAAATATGTTTTGGTTGGCCGAGCGGTTCGATCTTAATCTGAATACCTCTTTTTCTTAGACTTCAATTTACTTTAGAGAATATTATACAAGAACCCCGAATTATTGAAGGACCCTCATGACATGGGGTCTGAGTGTCCTCAGTTACGCCATCGATACTGTTGAACATGGTCAACTCAAAGTTGAAGGAACCGACTTTTTTCCATTGAATTAAATTAAAAGATAAAAATAATCATGTATATATTTTAATAATTATTAATAAAAGTATCTATCTATTTTTGTTTGCTTGAGATTCTGGAAATGCTGCGTTTAAGCAAGGAAGTTTTCCATTTCGTCAACATAATTCAACATTTCTTCAGTATTTCCTATAGAGGAAAGTACTTATAGTATTTCTGATAGGTGTTGCAAACCAGCAGTAATTGTAGGAGTTGATACTAGATCTATACTCTATTATACAACATAAACAAGTAACATACCTAATTATATTTTCTCACAATTTCGCATTTTATCCGAGTAGACAGAGAAAAATGAAGCGTCTTAACAGGTGGTTTCTACATTGACTATACTCTGTTCACCGAGAGACCAGGACTGTTTCGCGCATACGACTGATGGAAATATGGGCTCTTCTTCAAATATACTCTCTCTACGACTAAACCTATTTTGTATTCGTGGCGAATTCAAATAAACGTTCGTATCGGCTGTTATATTAATATGCTGATAATAATATAATAATATTCTATTATAAAGTACATACAACACACTTTTTAAATTAATTATTTAAAAAATAAACCGAAACGCGCTCAAACATATGAATTGAAATCACTGCAAAACAACATGACACTGTATGCATGCATGCCCCAAATTATGAGCAGCTGGCGGTTGCCAGGTGGCGCGTAGCCGTTACGAGTAAAAGTGGTAATCAACGAGTTTTCGCTTGCCGCGTAGTCCTGGTCTCTCGATGAACAGGGTATATACACTGTTTCAAAAGAGAATATACCAGATTTACATAAGAAAAACCGGTTTTGCCTGTGGCCGCCTGGTATGTTCTCTTTTGAAACAGGGTATAGTATAGGACAATTTTAGTGACTGACAGAAAACAGCTTCTTAAGCTTTCTTAAACGTCTTAGCGAGTTTCACTGTAGTCAAATATTTGTAGAATATGTTCAGAATGTTTAGATATTATTTTAATTTAAATATAAATTTAACCAATACGAATTGTATTTTTTTCCAAACAGTTCTATTATAATTTATGAATGTACATAAAAATATATCAGTTTATTAAGTTAAATTAATAATTTTGATGAGTCAGATCTCTATTGTCTATGCGCCTTGTTTTTATCTATTGCTCTTATTTTATGGTTTAAAATGGTTACTTATAAAGTTATACACAGTATTTAAGTTTACTAGATTATTCATACTTAAAGAATATAATTAATTTTATCAACTTACAATATTAAACAAATACTTGTTTGTTGCTCTTGTCACATTTAAATTCTGTTGACTCTTCTTACATTATTCTAATTACAATTTTTTTTTTCAGATTGATGGCAAAATTCTCAAAAAAAATTGTTAGTAAAAGCTTATATGTTTTTATTTTAAAAGAATCTACTCCACATTTATTAAATATGTAAGTAAATAGTATTATGTATAATATTAATTATTTTTATTGCTTAGGTTAAACAAACATTTAACTCCACTAAATTTAATTTTCAAATTATTCATTGAATTTCTTTTAATTATTATAAAATAATTATAGATTAGATATACACCTATAAAATATAGATTTTATTAAAGTTATAATTTTTAAAAAGTAGTACTATAGGATGGTTAGTAATAAGTAACTTTACTTTTTGTATTCTGTATACAATAAATATTTTCTCTTTTTTTTTTATTAGTATTCAAAGTGAATAAGTTAATTTCTTAAAGAAACTTGTTAGTTGTGTATTAAGTCAATAAATCAACTTCACTTATAATGCTCTCTCTGGATAATACCATTATTCATTAGTGCATAGTTATTCACCCTTCAAAGAATGTAAATTGTTAACACACTGTTTTCCCTTTTTTGGCGGCCCACACCCAACATAGACAAAACACATTTATGCAGAATCATTTTTTATTTTTTTGAATAATCTTAGAGTTAAGAAGTCACCCATTTCAGAAATGATAAGGAATAATATTTTTCCAGGTATGACATAATTTGTCTACATATTTTCTCAAAAAAATTTAAGCATTTAGATTAAATTTTATTATTTTTATTTTTAAAGTTGAATACAAAGTCAAATAATAATAATGTATAAAACTGATATGTCAATAGCCCAAAAATATTGTCCCCTGTAATTTTTGTAATACCTGATTTTATTCTGAGATTACTCACAAATCTCATAAAAAAACAATTTTAGGTGAAATCATTTGATCAATGTTGCAGATGGGTCTAACAGAGAAAATAAATATCAAACAGTAATAAGTTGACTAAATTAAAAATGTGTTATTATTTATTTCTAATAACATAGTTATTACTACAACTATTTTACCTTATGTTTAAACCAAAGTGGGTGTTGCTTGAATATGCTGTTTCGGGTTAACAATCATTATATTAACCGCATAATAGTGTTTAAATGCAGGCACACTTCTAAAGATCATTGACTTTTCACACATCTCGCAGATTGTGAATGTACACAGTTTTAAGTTCCCTTTTAATATTACCTAAATTGAATTGCTAATGAAAATAATTAGGATTCTGTTTTAAATATTTCTTCTGTAATCTGCCATGGTTTGTTATATATATTTTTTAGAGTTGTAACTAATTTAGTATTTTTAAAACTCAAACTTAAACATATTTAATTTATCAACAAAAGTTAATTTGTATAGTATCAAGTTAATATAATTTGTCTATTAGTTCTAATTTCAGTACTGGAAGTGGCTCCTTTTTTTAAACTAAAAGTAACTTTTAATCCCTTATTTAAAAATAGTCACCTATGTCAAAGTACTTCTCAATATTGTCTTAATTTAACATTTGTTAGAAATCTTACATTTATTAATTTCATATGATAAAAAAAATGAATTGGCTGATAAGGGTTAGGTTCCTGCTCTGAATCGTTTTTTGTTTAGAATGAATCATTGAATAGAAATTTAACACAAACTATGCTACTATGTCACTTTTTTAGCCCTGTTCATTACCTAGAATTTAAAATCTACACTATTAATTTTGTAAGTAATAAAATTACAAAGAAGAACTTTATTGATAATGATTTTTTAGATAAATATAAACTATTTCTACAGCTATTCTGTTAATTTAAAAATTATAAAACTAATTAACAAAATAAAATGATAATACCTACCTAATGCAATAAACCAGAAAAGATACAATTTTATTTTTAAAAACTAATATTTGGACCCCAAGTTCTATATTTATATTTCATAATTAAAATATTTAATATATTATATATAGTTATGTAGTATGTTATTGCTAGATTAATTGGAAAAAAATCACACTGTATTAATACATTTTCTAATTCAATAAATAAATGCTACCTATATGATAGTTAATTTGTTTTTATTATATTTTTTTTTAGATTCATGGATGCTGGTGGTTGGAATTTAATTTATAATTGGTTAAAAGATGCTGTAGAAACTGATAATATTATACTAATTCAGGATCTATTAACAATATTTCATATTGTACCTGTAACAATGGAACGACTGAAAGCAAATGGCGGACCAAAATTGGTCAAAAAGTTATCCAAAACTCATATTGATATAGGTAATTATTATATTTTATTTATCTGAGTTTTTTTATTTGATGTATTAATTTTAAACAATATCTAATTGATTTAATTAATTTAATGTGTTATGAGAAATTGTGAGTACTTCTAATAATTGGTTTTCTATTAAAATTTCAGAAGTGAAATCACTCGCACAACAATTAGTTGAGAAATGGTTAAAAGTAGTTAAAACTGAACAATGGCATAGTATGATGAGTGATAAAGAAAGCCTTACAAAACATGATACATTAGATAACTTAAAATCTGAAACTGGAGGACATTTAATTTTAAGTGCACCTAAAATAGATACTGGGGTTTCTTCAGAATCAGCAAATGATAGTACTACCTCAGATTTTAAAACAAAAAGTGAAAAGCCTAAGAATAAATGTGAAAATGAAAAAGTCAAAGATAGAATTAAAAAAGAAAAAAATATCTTAAATGTTAAAGTTGATCTTGATAAAAATAAAGAAAAACCAAAAATCGAAAAAGAAAAGATAATAAAAGATGATTCTGATGATTCCAAAGAGAAAAAACGGCGCATAAAAGAAAAAAATGGAAATCCATTTTTAAGAATAATTGGAGAAATGACAGATGAAAAATCTGATGAAGACAAACAAACGGAAAATGATAATTCAAATTTAACCAAACATTCAAGTCGACGAAAACAAAATTTAAAAAATCTTTCATCTGGAGAAAGATATGTAAAATTAAAACTATCCAATGATAGTAAAAAGGGCAGTGATCCTAATTCTAGCTCAGACATAAAAAAAGAATCAAGACCATTACCACCACCAGCTCCTAAGCCTAAATTACCAGAATCTAAGACTATTTTAGAGAAAAAAAATTATTCTATTCATGTAGAAAAAAAAGAATATGTGGGTGAGAAGAAACCAACTGTTAAAACTTTTAAGTCAAAATTCCGAAGTACTGGTTTAGAAGAAGCCCCGCCTCCGCCTAAATCTAAACTGCAATCTAAAAAGTCAACCAAAAGCTTATCACCTTTACCTTTATCAAAAGCTGAAAAAAGAAGTTTGTCACCTCCATCAGATTCTCAAAGTGAAAAGAAACTAAAAAGTTCTCCTTCAGACACCAAGAAACTACCACGTAAGATCTTATATTTTATTTTTCTTGAGTTATGATAAAATAACTTTAGTGTCAGTGCTTAATATACATTTTAAATAATATATAAACTTGGAATAATTTTGAAACTTTCTATTTTCAAGTGAAAATTTGATTGAAGTTCCTTTCAATGCATAGAATAAATTATTATTTTTATTCATGATACGTTAACTTACAGTGTAAAGATATTATAAGCTTCAAAACAATATCAAACAAATGTTAACTGACTTAAATATTTCACTTTATTTAGCAAAGCCACTTTTCTGCAATTCAAACAATGTTTAAATGTCATATTGTTCTGTAGTACGACATAATTGTTTCCTACAAAGATCTAAAAGTTTATTAAAATTAGCACTGACACTGATTAATTAACTAATATTTTTTTTTTGATATATAAAACAATGAATGAATAATTGTTGTGACAAGTTGCATTTCAGGATAAACTTCAGGTGTCTAATGGAACACCTACAGAAATGATCTCTAAACTTATTATATTTTTGTGTATCCATGTATGTATGCATGAATACATGACAATGTTTTACACATATGTATACACTTAAATCAATTTTTAACACATGGTTGATTCGTAGTTAAACCCACCCTCCTTATTTCAAACAACATGGAAATTAAGTCTTAAACAGCCTAACGGTGCTATTGAAAATTTGAAATTGTAAATTAAACTGTCTAACATGGTGATAAGGTAAGTGATAAAATTATTTGGTTTTTTTGTATGTGTGTACAATATAGAATCAAAATGTATATTATTTGTTATCTCAAATTATTTTATAAGTATTCAATACATTAAAATATAAGACAGTTAATAGTTGAGTTAGGTTGAATGTTTTTGATTATAATTTAGTGATCAAATTGTTCATTTAGTTGAGTTACATTACTGAAGTATTACCTAAGTAACAGTTGATCAGCATCTCAAATATTAGGACACATTTGCGCTTGTAATTACATTTTGTTGCAATATCAAGACACATTAGGTATAATATATAATTTATAAATATTAACTTTCAATTTTGGACACCATAATATTTTCTGTTAAGTACATCAACAACATTAGAGTGAGTAGATCTATTATAAAACTTTTAAAAGTAAAAACGTGATGTTTTTTATAATTCTTAAACATTTGGAGTAGTATCAAAACACAGATAATGTTCTCATCTCTGAAAGGTTGTCAGTACAATATTAGTTTTCTCCCTAGGACACATACATAACATGGGACACTTGCATTCAACAGAACCAATCTTGTGTCAGCTGTAATAATTATGTAAATTGACCTAATATTAAACTTGATGGATTGAAAAACAATTTTTGTGTTAAGATGTTATTATTTATTGATATTTTAAATTTTTGCAATACATGTACATTTTTTAAATGTAATATTTGGCATAGGTACCTGTAACTGGTATACAAATTTAACTATCATAAAAAATTCAACACCTAAACACAGACAATATGCCTAACTTTAAGATTGATATTAGGTCAATTCAAATATTAAAGATTCAAAATTATTCTTGTTGAACGCATTTCCTATTTAAATTTTGTATGTTCACAAAACATTGAATTTTACAATGATATCCTAAAATTAGCCATTCACAAAATATGAAAATGTTGACAATTTTACAATGTTTGTCCTGTAGACCAAATAAATTTACTTGTGCATAATTTCGTGATGAATGATAGTATAATATATAAATTCAAAATATGCTTAAATGCTTACAAAGATGAATATACATCAATAAAAATTAATTAAGAATTACCTGATTGTATTGTTAGTTTTCAAAAACTAGAATATTAGTTAAATTATTTTAGTTTTGATTAAATCGTTATAACATGTATTTTGTATTTGTCCAGGTAATAATAACTTGGAGAAGCGTCATCTCATTGGATTGAAATAAGTCAAATGAATTATATAAACTATATATGAATATAATATGATAGTTAATTTTCATAAATATACACAGAATGTAAAAACTGTGATATTAAATTAGTTTTTAAGTTTTATTAGCATGTCTGACGCAACCTATGTTCGTGTCTCGTGCAAATAAACACATTACTAATTTCAGATACAATATTTGTTAATTTTTTCATATTCCTATTAAGATGATAAACATATATAATATAGATTTGTCTTTCAAAGTGGATCACGTATCTCTACATAAGACCTATGGTTCTTCAAAATGGACAGACAACTTGGAAGATGCTGCTTGCGATCATTGTTTTTCCATCGACACTACAACAGTATTTGACATTTAGATGTTATATTAGCTGTTTTGTTTATGTTACTTTAGTTAATTTATAAACATATTCAAGAACAGGTAGTTATATCTTTAATATCCCAAATCTGGATAAAAAATACGCAAATCGTAATTATAGGTTATTTGAGGTATGTAAATATTTTTTGACTATTTCTATACTCGCAAACAAAAAAAAACAACAAACATTACATTAACATACGTGCTTGACAACATTGTTAGCATACAATAACAATATAAGCTTCCATGAATGAATAAAGTATGTCAATGTACATTTCAGTTAATGTATGCCATGGACATTGTCTTATAATATTACTGTATACTAAATAAGAAATGTAGTGAGTTGTGATTTATTTAGTATTCCCACTTACAGTACGTAAACAGACCATCAGGCATGGTCAAGTTGCTCGGTAGTTTACCAAGGGTGGGAAAGTGATAGATGCTAACCTAACTTATTGACGCTGAGTGCTAAGTTAATATTTGGTATAGAGATCTTAGAACCTTCAACACAATTGCAAAATATGGCCTTATATTTTTCTTTATTCTTATCACTATTATTTTTCCAAGCATATCTACTTAATTTTTTAAGTAACCACTTTTAATTAATTAATTATAAATTAAAAATTCTTTGATTTGATTTAATTCAAATATTTTATAATAGATAAGAAATGTATACCACTCCCTACCCTTTCAATAACACTATATTTTAATTTAAAAATCAGTATTCTTAAGAAAGAAAGGAGGGCCTTAATTTATTATAGTATTATGTGGTGTAATATTCACAAACTTAAATTTAAAATTAAAATAAAAATACTTTTCTAGATATTGACTGATTTACATGCTGAAATTTGCACATGGATAGTGTTATAAGGTATAAAATGTTAATAAAAAAAAAATTATTAATTTTAATCAATTTGTATTTAAAAAAGTGTATTTACGTAAAAGCTTAATAATCAATTTAATTGTTATCTGTAGTAATTATTTGATTAAATAGTAAAAGATATAATGCTGAATAGGTATTTACATACCTAAATGGAGAGATAACAATTTAAATGTCTATTAGGATAAATATTTATGAGTTCTTATAGATTAACATGTTATTTGGTATAATATTGATTCTGTTTGTACTCAAACATATACCATATTTTCAATAATTTGTTAAATATATGTATACAATACAATAGTAGCCTGGAAATATTAACGCAACACCAGTTTTTGACTAGATTTAATTGGAACATTAGATCACTCAAATTAATACACTTTTAGTCATGATATAATTTTTAAAATATTTTGTCTTATTGAAGAAGTTTAAACAATTAATGTTTTTGAATATTTATTAATCATAGAATTTCTCTTTATTGTAAAATGGTTTTAACATTAAACACAAGGTCACTTAATTTTTTCTTAGAGGATTTTAAAAATATTAAAAATAAGTCTACAATTTTTATTTGATGAGAGAATCAAAAATTACATAGAAATTAAACATTGTTTAAACAATCAAAGAATAACAAACTTAGCTATTTTATTTTCAATTAAAAAAAATATAAATAATGAACTTGAAAATATTTATGAACCATTATACATTTTAAGTTGTTTATTCCTCAAATATATGGTATTTCTCCCACTGATATATTATGTGCACTTTTAGATTAAGAAATAACTAATAATTTAATTTATCAGAATAATTTTTTTGTATACTATGATTTACTTACATCCATTACGGTGACCTACCCAATTATTGACAATGTTCCTTGAAACCTACTATGTAACAAAATCTAGTTTCCAGTTCTTAAAATTATAACTTCTAAATATATTATGTGTTTAAAGTACAAATGTTATCAGTAAGAGACAATATCATGACAATAAAATGAGTATATTACAGAAAAAAACAGTATTAATTATGCAGATTTTTTGGTATGTTATAACATAAGATGGTTATTAGTTAACGTTAGTTTTAAACTTATCACAAGTGTAACATTTTTTCATTTAAAATTATGTTTTGTACTAAATTAAAATATTCAGCAATTTTTCCACAAAACGACAAATTTGTTTTTGTGCATATTTTCTTGTAGAAAATGTACCAAAAATGTTATTCACTAGTAAAAAATATCTCATAGTCGAATAATAGGGTGAAAAAACAATTTTCCACAAAATGGGTATATATATGTCAAACAATTTTTTTGACAATCGATTTTACTTATTTTTGTTAGTTAGAATGAATAAATAAAGATACTTGAAATTTTTATAAAACATTCATATTATTTTTTTCTAGACATCTCATAAATTAAAATTGTTCGGCTTGTTTTGTCCACCTAATTATAATATTTAATATTTTCGAATTTTATCAATTAATACATGATACAAATTTTTTTGTAAGCTAATAAAGAGCTCATATTAGCACTATTGTATGCATACAATTCCAAGTAGTTCAACCTTTGTACTAAAAGTATCCTTATAAGTTATAAAGTAGTGGCTGATTGTTAATATCTGCCCAGTATCGTTCTTTGCATGCAATGATTTACATCAAAATACTTAAGTCTGTTATTAAAAATATTTTCTGTAAATACTTAAAAATAGAAGACTAGATTCAAAATAATTGTTTTAATCCAGAAAAGTAGGATACTTTTTTTACAAAAAGGTTAATCGTTTTTGAGACAAATGAAATAATACCCTATTATTATAAACTTGTGAAATACATAATTGAGTTAAGGAGCTATACCC